TGTGCATAGGACGCAGGAATTCGCTTCCTGTAAATCACTGAGCCACGTCAATATTGAAATATAACTCGAGTCTTCCGATGACACTGCAAGTTTCATGCATGGTTCTAGTCATCTATCACCATGACAACGGATATAAAACAGGACTGCAGGTGTCACCTGCAGGATCAGAAACAACAACAGCAACTAAAGTGCATGCATAATATATCAAAACTGTGCTTGAAACAAAAGACTTCATCCACACACCAGGCTTCACGATAATTAGTACGTCGCAAACAGGGAAAGCATACCATGTCAACCCAATGAAAACCAATAGACTTCATCCAGTGAACGTAAGACCTCAAGACAATTATTACGTTCGCAAATAGGAACATATCTTACACAGTGAAACCATATTGCTAATAGTTTCCATACAACTGTATCCATTGAGCATTACATGATTGAACACCTCAGCCCGAATACACAGCAATATCATTCATGTTCTCAGGATAAGTGCAGCCTTAGATGTTTTCTCTCATAAAAAGAATGGTCGCGTGGACTCGTGGTAACCGTCATCACTGATCCTCTGAGTTTGCTGCTGAGCCTACTTCAACAAGCACAAAGTGTCCACTGTTAAAGTTTCGGTCAGTTTTATTCATTTTCCCCATTTATAGCAGAACTGAAGCACAGAGAACAGGAATAACAGCCTTCTAATGCTACCGGTCAACAACTGTCATTGGATTTATCTTGTCCTCAGCACAAGTTGAGCATGAATTTCAAAAGATCTTGCTGATGATCAAGATGTTTTCTGCACATTATCTCTTTTCAGTATGTGTTAATTTTCATGAACACATGTCCATTAGCACAATAAGCACACTGTATTTAAGCACCATTATTTCTCATCATGAAACAATGATGCGCTTCTTTTAGAAAATAAAATGTATTAAACACAAAGGCTGTGATGAATCCACTCCAATGAGAATGCACTACACATCACGAATAAATGGTGCCAAATATTAATATACCAGTGAATCATAACAGCCCTATTAAACACCATAGGAACAAAATTCAATGTAAACAAAATGTCCTCTAGACACAAATCCCCATAAATAAATTTTCAGCCTAACTGCACTGAGAGTAAGTTGCAAGGTAAACAGCACCAAAAATACTGTATAAGAAAACATTTGTGCCTATCAAAATGATTTTCTGTCCAGAAAGAACCACATATTTTGTTTTCATGGGTAAAATTATATTTTCATATTTCAACAAAGGACAGAAGAGTAATGTCAGATTGTACCCATCCCGTCATCATGAATATATGTTACATGGTACAAGATATTGGGGAGATTGTTGTCCCAAAGAATTGTAACACAACAGGGTGGAAACATCTTGATGCTGTTGTGCTAACTATGTACGGTCTTCATCACAGTTTCATTTGTAGTATTTTACCCATGGTTTCAAACCTAATGTGAAGATCGACCCATTGAGCCCAGGCCACAGTTGAGTCAGGAAGCCAGTGTGTGGACTTACCTTGTGATGCCAGGAACCACGCCCCCATCATCGCTGTACTGTGGCACTGGGTGTGTCAACATGGCAAGTGACAAGATGGATTAAACAAGTTAATTTTGGAGTTTGATCTGTTGCCTTCATGTGAGTAACAAATATTCTCAAAAGCCTGTGAATCAGCCAGGCAAAACAAATCGATCTTATCACTTTCCGCATACTCAGAAAACATACATATGGATCATCGTTATTTTGTCTGTGTGTGCTACATACCAAACATTGATAGGGCTTTCCTAGTAACTGGTAATAAACATGTATAATATAAAACATTTAATAGTGACAACGCAAATATCTGAATGATATATGTACTGTAACGGTTATATAGGAAAATGCAAGAAAAAGATCTCATTTAAGTCAAAGTTTTAGACATATTTGTAATTTTGTTTCCTTTAATTACTAGTTGCATGGAAAACCCTATATGGTTCCATACAGCCAAGTGTGATTAGACAAGAGGACTTCCACTTACCAACACAAATAATATGAGACGAAATTGATGTTCAACTTAGCAAACCAAGCTCAATCTTTTCTCACAATTTATCTTTTCTCGTAATTTCGGTGACATGACTTAGCTACAAAATTGTGGACAGTACAGTTTTCAGTCATACTCAACTGTACGGACTCGACACAAGGCAGTTAGTTATACATAGGACAATCAAGAACAGTGAAGGATTCAATTCCCCTTGTACTTCCAGCCATTGACCTCGGACATTTCAACTCTAATTTAAACTGCTGAGTAATCATTTAAACTTATCTCTTTTCACCTGAAATATTTAAAATCTGGCAATCCAGAGCTGTTTGGCATGAACTGATAAAGAAAAACTCACATCTCAAATGCTAATTTTGATAACAGAAATATTGATAAAACAGGAAATCCAATGACTTAAAATTAAATATTTTGAGTGAATGAGGTTTTATGCCACTTTTAGCAATATTCCAGCAATATCATGATTGGGGGACATCAGAAAATGGGCTTCACACATTGTACCCATGTGGGGAATCGAACCCAGATCTTCGGTGTGACAAAAGAATACTTTAACCACTTGGCTACTCTACTGCCCCATTAACTGAAGAAAATCCTATTCAGCTTGACAACGTTATTTACAAATGGCTTGAACCTGGTCTGTATCCCCATGTGACATTAACCTCCCTATTTACTGGTGGGAGTAAGCTTGCTGGCAAAACTTCACTCCCAACAGTGCCACCTAAAGTATGGCTTAAACCTGCGACTTTTGAGCAGAAGTCAATATGAAAATATTTTTCTGACCAGGGATTGTCATGATTTCACAGCTTTCAATGCCAGCATGTGAAAGCAGTTTGACTTTGAGACTGTAAAGTGGTTGGTGTAGGCTTTTTAACTGATTGTGTTTGGGGCTTTAAAGATTCAAATGCATGTTTCTCATTAATTAAAATGAGACAGAAGCCCAAGTACTCAGAAAACCGAGTCTGTGTCAAAATAGTGGAGCATTCATCAGTTTTCTCTCCCTTTCTATAAATGTGTTCAGTGCCATGCTTGTTATTACTCCCCATGTTGTTTCACTTTGGGCTGAAGGATTCCAATTCAAAGAGGTCAATGTCTAGAGTAGAAGTACAAGAAAATTGAACCCTTCTATGTTGTAAATGTCTGGTTACCTGCTAATGTTGGATGTCTCAGTGTCATTAAACATCAAGTCATATATCATGTTAACTGTTTCCGTTCAGCACTGAGGATATCACAAACATTAGAAATAACCAAACACTCTGAGACATAGGAGAAGTGATGGCCATCACATCAAGTCAGTTCTACTCAGTTACCATAGCAACGATATTCATAGGTTGCACACAACTTGTGTAAAAGCCTGATCTTGAGAAGTAGCAATACAATTTTTGCTAACGATACAAAAGAGCTCAGCATAGCTGTGTTGTGTCATGGTCAAAGGGGAGATAACCACCTCAACTTACTCCCCTTCCGCACTTGTGAGTTTCAAACGTTCCTGCGGGCTGTATATGAAATTGGCAACTATGCTTAGATATTTTCATGACATAATATTCTGACATTTAATGTTGAGCCAACAACCCAAGATCTGGCTCTCAACATAATTTTCAGTCTCAGTATTTTGACACTGGCTTCATTAAACTATCTCTGCAGAGCTTTGTTTCTTGAAGATATTTATTCTTTGCAGATTGTAAAACTTTGAACATGGAAGACTAAGGTACACATTTATATCCAAATGTTGACATGTCTGTCAACTTCATATTTCTCCTTTAATTATTAAACCCAAATATGGAACTAAGTTAAGCAAAAACATATGACAAGAAAAATTAATTTACAAAAGGATGAAACAGTTTTGACTAAAACTACTTGGACTGATTCTTTTGTACAGTTAAATAAAAAAGCTGTTTATCACGCTGTGACAAAGATGTACAAACACCTAAGGAACCTCTCTGATTGTATCTCTTGCAAGCTTGACAGTGCAGTTTGAAGCCTATATAGATGAAACTTGAGCATTTATCGTGATACATATAATACTCGAATTCATATGTTCCAATGTGGTGTAGTGGGATCGGTCAGACTTCCGCCTGTTTCCCCTTAAATTTTAACGATGAGGAAAAATTTCTTTGAGTGGCATTTTTAGAAGTTGGATATGTCTTTCAGTATGTTAAGATTCAATTAAAGAAACATTTAAAACTCACTGTTATCAGATGAGGAACACATATTCAAGTGATATGATTTGACAAAATGAAATTTAAGGGGCAATACGGGCGGATGTCTTTCCGTACTTCAATCTATCAAACCTATGAATTTTTCAAATGAATATTTGGGATATGACAAGGACCCCTTCATCACTATGATTAATTAAGAAATTATAGCATAGTTCTACCTAATCCTGTAGTGCTAGTAGGACTGAAGTTTTATGGACTTGGGTATTTGTTCCTCAAATGTACTTACATGCTTACAATGGCATGGTACCCTTATATACATTTTAAGATTTGAAAATGAAAGGTAGTCTTAGGGTTTTGTTTTGAAGCTTTCTGAAACATTTCCCAATTATCTGACTGAAAATTTCGTATCTGACTTACTGTGCTATTTCATGAGGTACCTACCATTCATAATAGATTATGCCAGTGTATTCGTAAAATTCAGAAAACTGTACTTGAACTGACTGACTGACTGAGTTTGGTTTTACGCCGCTTTTAGCAATATTCCAGCAACATCACGGCGGGGGACACCAGAAATGGGCTTCACACATTGTACCCATGTGGGGATTCGAACCCGGGTCTTCGGCGTGACGAGCCAACGCTTTAACCACTAGGCTAACCCACCGCCCAACTGTACTTGAAGTAGCTTTGAGGGCAAATTTTCTTATTAATTGAATGTTAACTATTTCTCGACCTATTATTACTGTCTGAACAAGTTTTACTGAGTTTTGTTCTATCAGTGACGACCATCACTTCTCAAACAGCAGAAGAAAATAGATAATTACCGTCATTGCTGTAATCTGCTTCGTTATCGTCGCCGTAGTCATTGTCGTCTTGAAACACTAAATAGTCATCTGCACTTTGGTCACCATGATGAACTCGACTGGTACTGGGTTCTGAGTAATCTGGCACATGTGGAACGTTTTGATGGAAGGACGATGATGAAGAACCGGGTGATTGAGAATGCGATGATTGTGGATGAGAGAGTCGATCTAGAGCTGCTTGGGACGTTTGCGTATGAGGTACATCGGATGAATAATCTATTTGCATGTATGGAGTCTCTGTCTTTGGCACAATGTCGTCTGGTTCAGGGTCTGGTTCTATTTCTATTAAATCTGGATCTTCTGGTTCTTGTTTCACATTAACAGAAGAGTCATTTTGAGATTTTGAATGTGTATTGTTGGACGGAGAAGACGTTGATTGAGCATGTGGAATGCGACGGGCTGGTGAACGAATTGGTGTAATTTCTAAATGTCTCACTTTTGCTGCAGGTTGTATTGATGAGGAGTTATCGTGCAAACGTTTAGATGAAACTGTGACCGAAGAAGGCATCTGTTCGTAATTTACAACTTCACTTTCTTGAGGTATTAATGAACGGTCAACGTCAAATACTGAAAGTCTTAATGTTTTACATTCACTCTTTGATATCATGCTAGCATTTGATGAAACACCATCAACTGTAAACGTCAGCTTGTTTGCATGCAACGCTACTTGAATGTTTGCATCTTGCGTCGTGCCGTATGAATTCACCGACGCAGGAAATTCAAGATTCGACTTCGGTCCTTTTTGTAACGATGAAAACACCGTGCACAAGTCAATTGGAATGGTGAACTGAAGCGTTTCGATGAACATGGCTGTAGATTTTCTTTCTTGATTCGATACTTTGCTTGAAAATGCTGAATCGGCGTTGCGGAATGCGGGATATGCTGTTTCCTCGGTCAGTTTTGTTTCCCGGTGCTTTGCCCCTTTGTACTTGCCTCGCGCATTCGGAATTTCGAACACATGGCAGGTGCGCGCTTCATTAATCTCGATTCAGGGGCGTCTGATCACAAAATCATCCCCACAGTTTCTTCTTATGGTGTATTATGAATCAAATGATCACCCTGCAGTGTGGGAATTAAACGTGGACAGTCGTATTTCGGTTGTTTTTCTTGAAATACTCTGCAGGTACGCCAGCTCTTCCTGGCTTCCTCGTTCGTTTTTCCGGTATTTTCGAAACTATTTACCTAGATACTACCTTCAATGAAAGATTTCGGATTCAGGGCTTCTGTTGACATGCATGTTGCATATTCTTGAAGCATTTTGTGAATGAAATGGACGCAAGAATATGTATATGACAAGTTAGTTTTTCATATTTTGACTTTATTTTAATGTTTGGCACATGTAGACTGTATATAAAGTGTGTGTGCGTGAGTTTGTAAGCATTGCGTGAACAACGTCTCTTCAGTTTATACGTAATATGTTAGGGTATATGTCATATTAAAAACAAATTTTTCGCATTGAAGAGACGATGCATACAGATCCTAAAACTGCAAGTCTGCAGCTCAGTAGGTTTATTGTTTATGTAACCATAGATAATAGCAACAATGCAACAAAACTAATCATATATGTTCATGCATACCGCTGATCATCTTGCTCTACCATAACAACCTTCTCTGCAAACGAATCTAAGTCAATTACATGTGTGTAGTTATTGTTATTATACAACATCATAATCACAATCCTAATAACCATCATTTTTCAATTTCAAATGCGTTTTGGTTTGCTCGTCTTTCAAAATATAGATCTGTTTTTAACTCTGTTTTCAACATGAAAAATAATAACATTTCGGAGAGGGTTCTATTTTTTACATACATATCTTTGAATTTTTAAATACATACATAAAAAATATTTCGGAAAATCTTCATTTTGGGTTTGCAATGCAAGATCCAAATTCTAACTCGTTGATCAGCTTTTAAACAGACGACATCATAACGTCTCGCATGTTATATTTGGGATTACACTTTTTCGCTAAAGTGCAGATTCTATAGGACTTTTATTGAGTTGAGTCACGTCCTGGATTTGAACCCACACTCTCGGTCAGGCACCTAATCGCCAGCACACAGAGTCAGCCATCCATCCCACTCAGCCAGCGCCGCATCCACTGTGGGTCAGTGGGCTGACTGCTCACGATTCCTCAGAACATTTTCATGCAAGTTGACACTTTCGAACGTAAACGTGCATTAAAGTTTCTGTATATACTTCTCTAACGCGTTCGGTTTTTAAATTACATTTAGCGGTCTTAAATCAACGATAAAGGACCGCAAAATTGAAAACAGAGTAGCTTTATCTTCTAATTAAAGTTTCTGAAGATGCGTTTTTGCGCTGTGCATTCGTTCCAGGTTCACAAACCAGCAATATAATAGCGAAATTATAACAATCAAACACTATTTTTTAAACATATTTGAATATGCCGTATATCGTTTCCACAGTTACCCGTCGTCTGTCTCACAGTCCCCGAAACACATTATTTTCTATAATGCCTTGCACTCCCTGCAATGCTTAAGCCCTAGATGAAGCAAGTCTAGATTTCCCCAGGTTCGTGAATCTCCCAACTCACTGGGGCTCCTTTTCAGTTTAAATGGGTTTATTTGTTGCTATCAAAATGATATATGTTCAGGGACTAAGAGCTAGTCCAAGTTACCCAATGAAATAATCAGACACCTGAGCAAAGGCATGTTTCAATATAAAACACCCAGAGCTAACCACGCCTTCAACACGCCATCGAAGAATATCAATAACTAACTATTCATTTGAATTGGGTGAGATGAACACGATTGTCGTCGGTAGTCATCGTACTGATTCCCTCTCATGATCAGTGGATTGTCTGGTCCAGACTCGATTATATACTCATGCCAATAATGGTTGTCAGCCCCCTCCCCACACACACCCCACACACACCTCACACCCCCGGCCCACACCCTCTCTCCAATTAAAAAAATTGAAGGGGGTGACAACCATTATTGGCATGAATATATTACACAAACAAACTTATTGAGTCATTGAATTTTTACACGTTGCATATAATTACTAATCTATGTAATTACGTTTTTGTTGAACAACACAGTAAAATGACGGCAGCCGTGCTCTTATCTATGTAAACCGTGAAGATCCGGGTTAGAATTGGTCTCCAGCAAACCATGCTTGTCGTAAGAGGCGACTAACGGGATCGGGTGGTCAAGATCACTGACTTGGTAGGCATAGGTCATCGAATCCCAAATTGCGTAGATCGATGTTCATAATGTCAGTCACTGGATAATTATTTACAGACCACCGTAATAAATTTGATATATTGATGATGCAGCGTTAAACAGCAAACGTACAACACGGGACATACCAATCATGTGAACTGCGCCTTATGAACTGGTGTTAAAAGTACAAGAAGTAGCACAGTGCAGTCTCGTGAAATGTACCGAAATTTGCACTCAGAATCATAAACACATGTTCATTAGCTTGCCTTCTGAAACACAAAAAGACACGTCATGTCCAAACTATCGCTATTATGCGAAGATTGGCAACAGACGTATTTTCGTCAGGGGAGTCATACAGTTGGTTTTGTGGAGGCTAGTACAATATTAAACAGGAAATAATCAACATGAACCGCTTCGCGCATGCTCTGTTATGTAGCGCGTGCTTGCTCCCGCTTCTCAAAGAAGAAACTGTGGACGAGAGTTATGGACAGAAAATGATGTATATTTGGTCCATTTAGTGATGTCCTGTACGTCTTGTAAAGTGCATTTGTATGGGAAGAGAATTTTAATGGGACCCAAGCCATTATCTGGACGACCCTGTGAGATGCTTTGTTGTTTTTGATCGTTAAGTTTGATAACCATTTTCACAAAACAAACCCATCATTTCGAAGTGTGAACTGGTGACCTAGAGAGTGAAGAAACAAGACATTTTTCTCCGCTGGAAATTAATCTGTCAAGCACCATGTTTATCGAAACACTTGAATTCACAATTCCTATGGACTTGTATGATGTGTTTTCCACCTTGAAAGACGGACCGAAGGAAAACCTTGAATTTCCAGCTTCCGTGAATTCATACGGCACGACGCAAGATGCCAATATTCAAGTGACTCTACGGTCTAACAAATTGACTTTCGTTGTGGATGGTGTGTCATCAAACGCAAGTATGATTTCTAAAAGTGAGTGCAAAACACTTAAACTTGCAGTATTCGATGTGGATCGGACATTAATAGCACAAGAAAACGCAGTGACAATGACGCAGACAGCATTACCAACAATTCCATATCGGACCAAAAGGTCTCACGAATTTTCAGTTTCGGATCATTCTAATGTAAAATTTAGTCGGACATCCTTTTCAGAGAGAACACCACCACGAACTCAACATCGTACCATTCCACATGCTCAAACCACACCAACTCCGTCCAACGCTTCTTTATCAAAATCAAGAATTGACCCGCCAGTGAACATGGTGAATGTGAAACAAGAACCAGAAGATCCAGATTTAATAGAAATAGAACCAGACCCTGAACCTGATGACATTGTGCCAAAGAAAGAGACTCCATACATGCAAATAGATTATTCATCCGATGTACCTCATACGCAAACGTCCCAAGCAGCTCTAGATCGACTCTCTCATCCACAATCATCACATTCTCAATCACCCGGTTCTTCATCATCGTCCTTCCATCAAAACGTTCCACATGTGCCAGATTACGCCAACCCCGGTACCAGTCAAGTTCATCATGGTGACCAAAGTGCAGATGACTATTTAGTGTTTCAAGACGACAATGACTACGGCGACGATAACGAAGCAGATTACAGCAATGACGGTAATTATTGTGTTTGGTTTCTTCTTTGGAGAATTGCTGGTCACACCAAATCGGAATACCTGGAATCTAAAGTGAAAGTATTCCTCAACATGAGTTATCTTTGTCTTCAACCCAAAATAGTCAAAGCAAACACATCTTCAAATTCCCATCATGTGAAAGTTTACCCAGCAGGTCTTGGATAACCACAGATCTTGTTACAACATGTCAATCAAAGTAGTATTTCTCAATGAGACTATTATGTCGTACCCAATTCAATGCACAGCTTTTGAAGCATTGTGTGGGAAAACATCTGTTGTGTTAGTTGTTCAACGCCGCACTCAGCAATATTCCAGCTTTATGGTGGCCTCCTGTACATAATCAAGTCTGGACCACACAATCCAGTGATCAACAGCATGACGATCGATCTACGCAATTGGGATACGATAACATGTGCAGGGATTTACGGAACGTGAAATTCTGCGCCATATACGCATAAAAATTGACAATGGACCCAACGAAATTTATTAGCACGTCCACACGGATGCAGAAAAAGTCCTAATACTTTTTGTATAAATTCCAATCAAGTAACAATAAGTTGCCACTGAGTTTGCTACAAGCTAAGTTATGGTATCATTGGCCATTTGATTACTGTAACAATTTAAGTGATGATCATGATAAACAATTCAATAACAGTATTAATAATAATATTCAAGTGTCCGTGACCCCCATTTTGTTGTCAAGCATCCCTGAAAATTAAGAGTATGAGTCCAAGGTACCCTCAAATACCTGAGGGGCGGTGGGGTAGCCTAGTGGTCAAAGCGTTGGCTCGTCACGCCGAAGACCCGGGTTCGATTCCCCACATGGGTACAATGTGTGAAGCCCATTTCTGGTGTCCCCCGCCGTGATGTTGCTGGAATATTGCTAAAAAGCGGCGTAAAACCAAACTCAGTCAGTCAGTCGGTCAAATACCTGTATCCAGGTATATCCTTGCATGTGTCAACCAAACCAGCGAATTTGACCATCTGATCCTGTTAGTCGCCTTTTACGACAAGCATGGGTTGCCAAAGACCAATTGTAACTGGATCTTGATGAGTCTTGTGTGTGGATTCTGGACCCAATGTTTCGATTGGCAACTTAATCAATCAGTGGTCATGCTGTTTGAGTTGTTGCAAGTCATCGTACCCAGCCATGGCTTGCTGCTTGTTATATTCTGATCAAGAGTTAAACAATCCTCCTTCACACTGTTGGGACTTAAAGACCAGAAAATATTATTATTTGATCAAACTATTCATTTTTCCCAAATTTGCCAGTGCTTTTAGCTAAATTCAAAGGTAATTTCCTGTAGAGTTGTCTCCCTTGGGTTTGTGATTACTGAGCTTGTTTCCTAAATATTAAGTAGTTGACTTGCTATGACAAGTTTCTTTTAACCGTTTCATGTCATGTGTTAGCATCATGTATGATGTACTAAACAAGTTTATATTAATATGATCAATTAAATAATCTAATTCAAGTTTTTTTCACACATCTGTCATGTGAGATGAAAATAGTGACAGGCGTTAAATTAAAATCACATGAAATTGTTTTAGTTGCAAAGCAATATTCTGAAATAGGTTTATTAAGTTTGCAAATCCCAAATGAACAATATCTAGTGACAACCATCAAGGTTCTGTAATGCCCTGGATAACGTAAATTCCACAGTCAGCAATTTTCCAGCTGTACCAAACACTGCTGTAATTAATAATGGACCTGATCCAGAGTCTTATATTAATCCCCAAATATGCAGAAATGTCTGTAGACATTAATTTATTTCACATAGTTAATACTAATGGTATCTGATATACTAATGGTATCTGAGTATTGATTGCTATTGTTTGCTTTGTGAAGATCAGGGGTGAAATAACTTTTGAATTGCTAGTGTACTCCGGTACAGGGGCACATGTAAATTTTTCCACTATGCCAGACGTTTTCTTGTTGATTTTTTAAATAAACAACATAATTAACATTGGAATATCAACTGGACACCGGTACAGTGTGATGTACAAATTTGCTTGCCCGACAGAAAAAAACACTGGACTCGGGCGTCGGGCATGGGTTATTTCCACCCCTGGAAGATCTGGGTCAGAATTAGTCTTCAGTAACCCATGCTTGTTGTAAAAGGCGACTTATGGGATCAGGTTGGTCAGGCTTGCTGACTTGGTTGACACATGTCATTGTATCCCAATTGCGTAGATCGTTGTTCATGATGTTGATCACTGGATTGTCTGGTCCAGGCTTGATTATATACAGACCACAGCCATATAGCTGGAATATTGCTGAGAGCAGCGTTAAACAACCAACCAACCAGCCAACAATGCAAAGAGACAAGCTGTGAATAGATTAAATACATCTTTTTAAAAAAAATCTTTCGTAAATCAAAATGACAGTAGTTTCCCAATTTTCTTTCCACAAGGGCAGTGTACAATCTTAGATAAATCTTAGTAAATATTGAAGGCTGGATGAGGCCAAACATCCCGTTATGACTCACCCGCAGATAGTTTTATAGCAAGCACATGGGTTGCTGAAGACCTATTCTACCCGGATCTTCCTGCAAATAGTAAGTTGCAGTGATTGAGAAGTAACTCACCCACTGCGCGAATGCAAATGACTGATTGGAAGTGTATCGACTCATTACATGTCATTGTGTAGGTGGTGCGTCATTGTAGGTGGTGCGGATACTGGTACTCGTAATATCAATCACTGGATTGTCCTGTCCAGTTGGGATTATTTGCAGGCTGCTATTATAGAACAGGAACGTTATTGAGACGTTGCATATGACTTTTGTTTATTGCACACTTGCAGATTAACAAGCAAAACAAACTTTTTCCTAAAGGCGAGAATTTATGGATGTAAAGCTCTTTATTTTCAGTAGCATGACATTTTTGGGAACTTCTTAGTCGTAAGGGATTATACTGATGAAGGAGTAAGAATATACTCCGAAACGACATTTTTCTAAAAAAAGAGACATTGGCATCCACAAATTCTTGCCTTATGTGCATTACTTGTAAGTGTGGGACGGTGGGGTAGCTCAGTGGTTAAAGCGTTCGCTCGTCACGCCGAGGTTTGATTCCCCACATGGGTACAAAGTGTGAAGCTCATTTCTGGTGTCCCCACCGTGATATTGCTGGAATATTGCTAAAAGCGGGACCGCCTCCGTGGTGTAGTGGTTAGAGCGTCCCCCCGGAGAGCGGAAGGTCGCGGGTTCGATCCCCGACCGCGTCATACCAAAAAGACGTTAAAATATGGTACTTGTTGGTCCCTGCCTGGCGCTCGGCATTAATGGGTACAACAAGGACTGGTCGACTCGGAATCAGTATAATGTGTCTGAGTGGGGTATTCGTGCTTCACTGCGGCATGGTATCTCAGTGGGTTAGCACTATAAAACCAGCTTTAGTCTGGGCTAGTACAAGCAGCCGCATACACACGCATACACGCGTCATATACTGTAAATCCATTTATTTTCGCTGGTCAATTTTCGCTGAATTGACAGTTGACTACTTCGCCTCACGTCAATTATTCGCTACAAGTCAAATTGCCGGAACTGCCAGCTGTCTCTTTGGCCGCCACTAATAGCAGTGAAAACAAACAGAGCGGCTTAACCTGTCAGGCGCGGCGCTTTATTGCTTACTCACAGGAAATCCCGATCTGTGCGATATACTAGTACACAGTAATCCGCTTTACTCCTGAAAAACACATCAGTCTTATGTTCAATTCTGGACGATCTGACTAATTAACTTATACTCGTATATGAAGCTTTTGTGATTTCAAACAAGCCGGGTTGTTGTGAATGAGGTGATTGAGTGTTAAGTGACTATTCGCTTCATGATGATACGCTTGTATCTAAATGAATAAATAAAATACTGCTGCATTATTTCTTTCCGAAGTCGCCATGGTAATCTGTTTTGTATCAAACCATCTGTCATGTGACCAAGTGACATGGCGCCACTTTGCCCTTAGGTATTTGGATCCATAGCGACAGTTAAGTATGACACATATTTAAAACATATTAGGTATTCTATATTTTTACACATGTTTAAAACATACAAGGTTACACCTTTTCAGGTATAATACACAGATGCTGTTTGAATAGATATATTTAGATCTTGGTGTTCTAGAAATGGTGTGACCAACAATTTGTTGTTTTGTACAGTGTTTGTTTAGTGTCACTGGTTGAGAAAAACAATTTCTTCATGTAAGATTTCTTTAACCTGTCATTTATCCTTGTCTTTTGTGAAAGCCATGATGACTGAATTCTGATATTTGCATATTTGTATGCTTAAAGAGGCAGCATTTTCTGAAAAAGTAATTAAACTGTGGCAGTTTTCAATTTTATTTCTCAACAAGGAGTGAAAATAATCCAACACTGTTACAAAATCATTTTCTTATAATTGATTTTGTACATAGATTGTGCTCCATCAATCAGGGATGTTGATTTTGCATTAGTGCATGACCAGTCATATAACCTTGTTTAGCTGAACCTATACTATACACCTCTTTCATGTCTTCGTAGCAGATCTGGGTCTGTTGAAGTGTCTGAGTTGTATCAGGTCATTGAACTCATTTTGCGTCTAGCAAGTCTCACGTTTGATGATCAGGCCCAGTCTGGCAATAACTCAATGTCCTAATTGAGTAGACGCTGTCTGGCACAGGACACTGATTCTACTGTCTGGGCTAGCCAAAGAGCTGCTATTGACTTGGACAGATATGGCCTTCATGGTCCACACATCTCAGCACCAGGTTTATCTCTGATAAGTATTACACGCCTGAAATATCTGTACGTCTATAGTGTAGAAATCAGGTTACCTTATTTCAAGATATGTATCAGCAAAACATAAAATCCTTGATATCAAGTGGAGTTCAAACAATCTATCCTTGCCCAGCCATTCTAGACTTGAGTTGTCCAGTCCCAAACTTGAATCTTGTTTGGTCTAGACATGTTGTACACTCAAGGAAAGTATATCCCAAGTGAAATATTGAGGAACTGATTTCAACAGATAGCTATGTTGACCAAGATTTGGGGGGAACAAGCTTATATAAAAATGATCTATTTTTAAAAATACTTTTTTAGTTACACATTTTATTTCATATTGAATTGGCCATGCTTTCATTTAGACCTCTATATGCCCACTGGGCTGGGGGCTAAGTATAAGGCAAGTTGACTCAAATGTTACAAGCCTTGGTCAGAATCAGATCGCTGTGCAGCCAAGCTGAAGATGACAGTTAGAACAGTAACAGAAGCAGGTTTGTTTGAGATAATATGTGAAGCAAGCTCTGACATTTTGTATTGCCTATTTACTTGAAAAATGGAATAGGGTGAATATTTTAGTTTATCTTCACTGGTCTGATATTTTCATAGAAAGTGTTTTTCTCGAGTACATCCCTGATTGATAGGAGTCTCCATCTGCTGTATTCAAGTCATTCAGGTTGGAGCTCACTGTGTGGTACGAACATGGCCTTGTATATCTAGCCTTCATCCGTAAGGGCCGGTGGGGTAGCCAAGTGGTTAAAACGATCGCTCATCACAATGGTTTTGATTTAATTTGTGAAGCCCACTTTTCATGTCCCCCGCCCCGATATTGCTGGAATATTGCTAAAACTAACACTCACTTCATCTGGATTTTTTTTTAACATGATTAATATTTACAGTCCTATGCGGGAAATCTTTGAGGATTCAGGTTAGAATTTTTCCCAGCAACTTGTGGTTGTCATAGATACAAGTTGATGGATGATTTGATGACTGTAGATTGATAGTGTCATCGTTCTCCTGATGCTGCTCTGATCAAAACGTCAACAACTGCGATGTCTGGTTCCGATTTATTTACATGCTGCTGTCGCTGTGCTTGAATATTGCTGAGTTCAACATTCATCAGCAAAGAAAAACAGACTGGAGTGTTAGTTAATGCTTTATGAGAATTACCTAGGTCTGTTCAGAACATTGAATTAAATTACATCCCTTCCCCTGTCAGACACTTTAATTTGTATTCTTCTATTTATACTTAAATTTGCCTCCTCCTCCCCAGTTGATATGTTACCCAGGAATAAGTACTCACCACACTGAGCTCACACCTGATGATTTACGGGTCTGTTTTAAACATGTTATTTATCTTTCTTGTATGGAATTGTTTGGTTTGATCAGACCAATTCTGCAAGACATATTGAATAGTGATGCAATTACCACAGTTTGAAAATACAGATGTTGATGATTTACCTTGGCTTAAGGGCTCATCCTTATGACTAACATGGCAACCAAAATATTTGGTTTTTGTGGTCTGAAAGAATTGAAACTGCTTAAATTTGTTTTATAAGTCAACAGTTGTGTGACGTAATATATAGAACATGTTGAATGGTTTAAAAAGACTTTACATTATGTTTGAGTATGTTTAGAATGGTTTGTTATTATCCAAACACATCATCAACAAGTGACAAGATGTATTGGTAGAGCCTCATTTCATCAGATGTAATGTTCCCCTAAAGATTTATCAGAATTAACAATTACTGGAGGAGTTGTGTGCTTGAATTTGAAAATTTGAATTCGAGCCAAAACATTGCATTAAGTAACTGTATTTTGAATTTTATGGGAGTAGTTTTGACTTTGTTGAACATCCATCTTGTCACTTGCCATGTTGACACACCCAGTGCCACAGTACAGCGATGATGGGGGCGTGGTTCCTGGCATCACAAGGTAAGTCCACACACTGACGTCCTGATTCAACTGTGGCCTGGGGTAGGACGTCCTCAAGCTCATCAACATGTCAGTTATTGTTCCGCCATAAATGTATATCACAGATTGTGCGTGTCGTGTTGAGACGAGACCTCATAATGATACAGTTAAGATCTGATGTTGACTTTAGACTTGCGATGTTTGTTGTTCTGTCGCCATGGTTTCTGATTTATACTGACCTGGTTTTATGGCCAGCTGTGATCACTGAAATATTTCAAATATGCAAGAAGCGTTTATCTCCCTGTCTGTCCTTACTGAACAAGAACATGACCAACTTGACACCAGTGACATTTGATGTGTCCGTGGCTGTTGTTTCTACCTGCACGGATGGCAGGTGTGAACATTTACCTCCAAACTACTGTTAGAAGTGTATTGGGAAAGTTTAAGGTTACAGAAACTGTTACATGTCATAATGCCCCCAGTTCTACTGCCAAACTGGTTGTAATGCCCCCAGTTCTACTGCCCAACTGGTTGTAATGCCCTCAGTTCTACTGCCAAACTGGTTGTAATGCCCTCAGTTCTACTGCCCAACTGGTTGTAATGCCCTCAGTTCTACTGCTAAACTGGTTGTAATGCCCCCAGTTCTACTGGTTGTAATGCCCTGCTAAACTGGTTGTAATGCCCCCAGTTCTACTGCCAAACTGGTTGTAATGCCCCCAGTTCTACTGCCAAACTGGTTGTAATGCCCCCAGTTCTACTGCCAAACTGGTTGTAATGCCCCAGTTCTACTGCCAAACTGGTTGTAATGCCCCCAGTTCTACTGCTAAACTGGTTGTAATGCCCCCAGTTCTACTGCTAAACTGGTTGTAATGCCCCAGTTCTACTGCTAAACTGGTTGTAATGCCCTCAGTTCTACTGCTAAACTGGTTGTAATGCCCCCAGTTCTACTGCCAGTTCTACTGCTAAACTGGTTGTAATGCCTCCAGTTCTACTGCCAAACTGGTTGTAATGCCCCCAGTTCTACTGTGCCCTCAGTCTACTGCCAAACTGGTTGTAATGCCTTCAGTTCTACTGCCAAACTGGTTGTAATGCCCCAGTTCTACTGCCAAACTGGTTGTAATGCCCCCAGTTCTACTGCCAAACTGGTTGTAATGCCCCCAGTTCTACTGCCAAACTGGTTGTAATGCCCCCAGTTCTACTGCTAAACTGGTTGTAATGCCCTCAATTCTACTGCCAAACTGGTTGTAATGCCCCCAGTTCTACTGCCAAACTGGTTGTAATGCCCCCAGTTCTGGTTGTAATGCCCCAGTTCTACTGCTAAACTGGTTGTAATGCCCTCAGTTCTACTGCTAAACTGGTTGTAATGCCCCAGTTCTACTGCTAAACTGGTTGTAATGCCCCAGTTCTACTGCTAAACTGGTTGTAATGCCCCAGTTCTACTGCCAAACTGGTTGTAATGCCCCAGTTCTACTGCCAAACTGGTTGTAATGCCCCAGTTCTACTGCCAAACTGGTTGTAATGCCCCAGTTCTACTGCCAAACTGGTTGTAATGCCCCCAGTTCTACTGCTAAACTGGTTGTAATGCCCCCCTCAGTTCTACTGCCAAACTGGTTGTAATGCCCCAGTTCTACTGCCAAACTGGTTGTAATGCCCCCAGTTCTACTGCTAAACTGGTTGTAATGCCCCCAGTTCTAAAACTGGTCATGTAATGCCCCAGTTCTACTGCTAAACTGGTTGTAATGCCCTCAATTCTACTGCCAAACTGGTTGTAATGCCCTCAGTTCTACTGCCACACTGGTTGTAATGCCCCCAGTTCTACTGCCAAACTGGTTGTAATGCCCTCAGTTCTACTGCCAAACTGGTTGTAATGCCCCAATTCTACTGCCAAACTGGTTATAATGCCCCCAGTTCTACTGCCAAACTGGTTGTAATGCCCCCAATTCTACTGCCAAACTGGTTGTAATGCCCCCAGTTCTACTGCTAAACTGGTTATAATGCCCCCAATTTTACTGCCAAACTGGTTACTGCCAAACTGGTTATAATGCCCCCAATTCTACTGCCAAACTGGTTGTAATGCCCCCAGTTCTACTGCCAAACTGGTTGTAATGCCCCCAGTTCTACTGCCAAACTGGTTGTAATGCCTCCAATTCTACTGCCAAACTGGTTGTAATGCCCCCAGTTCTACTGCCAAACTGGTTGTAATGCCTCCAATTCTACTGCCAAACTGGTTGTAATGCACAAAGTTGCCACAAATGATTTCTTGTTACAATCTCCTGTATAATCTATTCCTTTGTGCTGTTGAATTGCCACACCTGTTCACTGCGAACATCACCTGTTAAATAGTTGCATCTTTTCATATCTAGATATGAACTGTACACTTTTGCCAATGCGCGTGAACATGCGTATCATATCATCTTATATGCTGTACACGTTAAGCTAGTGTTTTTTAAGTTAGGCTTGTAGATAGTCCTTGCTAGACATGCTGGTGCTTGATTTCTATGTCTATGTCATGTCAAGTCCTGTCTGGTAATGATAATATAATAATAGTAATCAGGGATAGAAATACTTTTTTTTCTAAGTGTGCCTTAGGGCACCAGACAAATATTTTAGGTGTGCCTTTAGAAATTGAGTATGCCCACATGTTTTTAGAATAAATGACAATGATGATGATCATTTGAAATTTATTGTTAAATAAAGAAATGGGTTTATGAACATTCAAATATGTATGGTATTATTCAATTTGGAAAATAATAACTGTTTGGGGGATTAAATGACTAAATGCAAGTTATGTCTCTGAAAAATCAGGTGTGTCAAAAGGGCACCGAGAGCATTTTTAGCCGTGCCATTTCAATATTTACCGTGCCATGGCACACTAATATATGGGGTATTTCGAACCCTGGTAATGATAATGGACGTTATAATACACCTGTTTCCAACCACTTGTGCATGCTGAAGGCACTACAATAAAATGAGAGGATATATACAAAATATATGTGATGGGTTCAGGAGTGTCCGTAATATGTGCAGGTGAAAAGATGAATTTGAAAGTTGTCAGGGAATCAGAAAGTTTAATGTTGACCTGTAGTGAATTCCAGAGACATGGAGCTGCATGTAGGAATGATTGCTTACTGAATGAAGTTAAGTGGATCTTGGGGACTGTTATTTAGAGCTGGTTTTGGTATCAAAGAGTTCTGATTGGAGTGTATTCTGTGACAAGATCAGTAAGAGAAGCTGGCACAAGATTGCGTAGGCACTGGTAGACAACACGAGATGCCAGTGTAGTGATTTGAGAACAGGAGCTATGTTATCAAACCTGGATTTTAAAGCAATAATGCCAGCAGCTGTAATCTGAACATTTTACAGTTAGTAAAGCTGAACTTTGTTGCGAAGTGCAAGCAGCGTGGAATTTGTTGTCCATTGTTGACAATGTTGTTGGTCATGCACCGTTTTATTATGATTGGGCAACTTAGTTGGACTTGGCGTCCATTTTGTACTTGGAAGAGGACGTTCACGATATTATTGTTAATCCAGAATGCAAGGAATTGAGATGTCCAGTGGTGAAAATATGAAAAGCTTCTATACTGTCAGTTGGTTTGTGCTGGAGCACTTTTTTACTTTGTGCTGGAGAATGACAATTGTTGAAGAGAACAGAAGATGGAAACATATGACAATGGTCACTACCATTTACTTGAGAGCTGTTTGATAGATCAGTTCACTTGTGAAGACCGGGGTTCAAAATTACTACTTGTCCACTAGTCCAGACAAGTAAAATTCAGGCAGGACTAGTGACATGGACTATCACAGTTACAATAAGTAGATGATAACTGATCGCCAAAAGGACTCGAAATATCTAACAATGAAGATTTGTATCTATTGTGATGATGACTTAAAACAGTAGCTGCCATTTACATGAAGCTTTGACTTCATCACTGAACTTTTGTTCTAACTGAATTAACTCTGTTAGTAACTCTGGAAGTAACAAACTTTCTCTGTATGAACACCCCTGAAGGTCCGGGTTAGAATATTGATCTTCAGCAACCCATGCTTGTCGTAAGAGGTGCCTAACTGGATCGGGTGGTCAGGCTCGCTGACTTGGTTGACACATGTCATCAGTTTCCCATTGTGCAAATCGATGCTCATGCTGTTGATCACTGGATTGTCTGTTCCAGACTCAATTATTTACAGACCGCCACCATATAGCTGGAATATTGCTGAGTGCGGCGTAAAACTAAACTCACTCACTTCTGTTTGAATGTTGGTAGTTACTACAGCAGTTGAAGTGTTTTCTCCTCGGAGGCCTTGGTTTGAATCCTGTATGCGTACAGTTGGTGAAGATAATTCCTGATGTTCCAGTTGAATGTTTTCTTGAATTTTGCTTCTTGAGTAAAGCGAAACAAATGTGCTTACTAAATTATCCACTAAGGGTTGCGATAAATCCACTATGAGATGAATATGATTGGGTAATGAATCGAATATTGGGTAATGAAGAAAATTACATGTCAACAGTGAATGTATTATTTGATATATTGGATAAACAATAACAAAATATATTCATCGACATGTTTTGAGTATGTTGACAATGTGAATATATCATGACAATGACCTATGACAACATTGATGTCAGTTAGTGTAATAACATAATAATATCCTGCTTGTGTTTGATATATTCCATTTTGCATATCTCGCTTTGATAAATAACACTTAAATCCAAGTAAAAACACTCCAGCTTAAAATTGTTTCTATTTAAAAAAAAATTATTTTAATGATCTTGATTTATTAATTATATTCATGAAGGAATACGGCTCGATACACTCACCTTTTCACGAAGACCCATTATAATCACTATTTGATAGTGATTCATAAACACATGATCACGTCGAACAGTCGACTTTCAGCAGAAATGTGGAAAGGTGTTAGTCTTTGTAGATTTGTTGGAATTGGTCTTGACTCGGCTGAAATACATTTTGTTCCAGTTATTAGAAATTCAGTTTTTATTTGTCAGAACTTAGCAGAAAGTTTGATGTACATTAGTTCATAAAGCCTAACTTTTGAGATCCACTACATTGAAATACAATGCATAGATGATAGTTGACCAGAATCTAGTTGAACTATCGGGGTTGCAAGAAAAAAACATTCTCATCTGTATGAGTTTGAACAGCTCAACATTTGGCTTTTCCTTATCACTTTATATAAATAATTTCTGGTTTCTTTTATGATTATTTTCTAATTACTGATCAAAATAAATATTCCAGATTTTCATAATTCCTACATTTTGGTGGTGGCATCTGAATGATATTGAATTCCCGGAGAATAGCATCGGGTGACTCAAGCTTTTTGTTTCTTGCAGGCTTAGATGACATGAGCTTCTCTGTGGCAGATAGTGAGTTCCTTCCAGTCGGAATGCAAGGGTTTCCTCTTGTCAGTGGCTCTAGTTTTTATGGAATTAATTTGACAACTTCCAGCAATGGCAAGAGACAGTGTGCCTGTCCATTGTGTGGGAAGGTATTTGCCAAAAAGAATGGCCTCATGTACCACATCCAGGCAATACATGAGAAGGTTCAGTTTAATTGTGCTTGTGGAAAGTCGTACCACCACAGACGAAGTTTACTGTATCATAAGAAAACATGTACCATGGTACAAGGGAATGGTACAACGTGACTGGCTTGTTGAAGGGTTCGTATAAAGGCTGACCTTGACTATGTTGTTCATGATGGACAGGGGTCCAATATTTCATGGACTGGACTGGCTAGAGGTCGTTACTAGGGCTCACAATATGTAGATCCATAATCCGAGCTCAGCAGTTGATTGTAATTGTAAACCCACGATTAATCCACCACAAAGATCATATGGGCAATATCTGGGCACAATCATGGCATGAATGAAACAGGTATTTCCTGTCAGACAGGCTCTGATTAATACCTTCACGACACTTCAAGGATACTTCCTGTTAAGACAGGTACCGTTAATACCACGACCAAGACAATCGAAGGTACTTCCTGTTGAGACAGGTACCGCTAAGACAGTCGAGGGTACTTCCCAGTTGAGACAGGTACCGTTAATACCACCACCAAAACAATACTACTTCCTGTTGAGACAGGTACCGTTAATACCACGACCAAGACAATCAAGGGTACTTCCTGTTGAGACAGGTACCGTTAATACCACGACCAAGACAATCGAGGGTACTTCCTGTTGAGACAGGTACCGTTAATACCACGATCAAGACAATCGAGGGTACTTCCTGTTGAGACAGGTACCGTTAATACCACGATCAAGACAATCGAGGGTACTTCCTGTTGAGACAGGTACCGTTAATACCACGATCAAGACAATCGAGGGTACTTCCTGTTGAGACAGGTACCGTTAATACCACGATCAAGACAATCGAGGGTACTTCCTGTTGAGACAGGTACCGTTAATACCACGATCAAGACAATCGAGGGTACTTCCTGTTGAGACAGGTACAGTTAATACCACGATCAAGACAATCGAGACCCATGAAGATCCGGGGTAGAATAGTTCTTCAGCAACCCATGTTTGCTGAAGTTTATCGTAAATATTGGGTAACATTGTTTATTATGTTCAGTGAAACAATAACTAAATAAAGTCTTTGACATGTTTTGGCCATGTTGAGTGTTATTTTATCACGACAAAGTCAGTGACCACATTACTGTCAAACGATATATACTGCACATCAAAAGTTTAGAGTCACTGAAAACACTCACTCTCTGTGTCTGAGTGAGTGTGTGTGTGTCAGTCGTGTATGCGCACTCACTCTGTGTGTGTGTGTGTGTGTGTATTCGCCGAAGATTGGTTTCTCCACTAAATTGGGGGAACCAACTGCAAACCTTATGCAGATGAATTGCAAGAGAACCATGTATCAAATTGCTGAAAAGCGTGTGCAAATATCGTACTTGTGAACAGCTGTGTTTTGGTGTAAAGTTTTGTTAAGAATTCGCCAATTTTCACCGAGTTTTATCATTTCTTGAATTCAGGACAATAAGCTTTTCAACTGTATGAATTTGTTTTACAATACATCAGTTCATGTGTAAACAGTATGGAATATTTTGCAAAATTTAGTTTAGAACAGTTGACTGAAGTGTGTCTAAACTGTTGATGGGTAGTATATACGAGAGACTTGACTGGTATCCTGGTGGTTAAAACATTCACTCGTCATGCCGCAGACCTGAGTTCAATCCCCCACATGGGTACAATGTGTGAAACCCATTTCTGGTGTCCCCCGCCATGATATTGCTGGAATATTGCTAAAAGCGGCGTGAAACTGAACTGTCACGAAATGACACCCTAATTCAAGTAACATTATTCCAATTTATAAAATTCATGTATACTTGATTCTAGTAATTCTTAATAACAAATTGATCTCATGAAGGCATATAGTTTGATTCATCAACAAAAGCAACTAGCTGTTCTTATCAACCTGTTCAGAGTTTAGTGATTGGTTATGTTAGACTCTTTCTAATCAGATTTGGGGCGGTGGGGTAGTCCAGTGGTTAAAATGTTGGCTCGTTACTCCTAAGACCTGGGTTCGAATCCCCACATGGGTACAATGTGTGAAGCCCATTTCTGGTGTTCCCCGCCGTGATGTTGCTGGAATATTGCTAAAAGCGGCGTAAAACCAAACTCACTCACTCTAATCAGATTTATTGTGAGAAGATGAAGTTGATGCAAGCTCAAGTAGCTGACAGGTCCAATTATTGTATGGATTGGTTGCTTGGTTGGATGTCCTCACAATGCTTGTAATAAGTCCTACCTCAGCAAGAATGGTCTTCAGAAGCTCATGCTCGTCAAGAACTGACATGATTGCTGCTTGTCTGTCTGGATGATTGTCATCGTTTCTCATGTGCATAGTAGGGCTGGGATGATACACTATGTCACGATACGTTCCGTATCGTGATATTTTACCTGCGATATGATACATATCACCTTGAAAGAATGACACAGTATTAAGATTTAAAATGATTTATTCGAAGGTATTTGTGTATAACAATAACACTACTGTAATAAACAAACAAGTAACTCTATCATACTTGCATATTTTTCTCCACAGAAGTACTTTAACATGTTTAAGATAACACTGTTTTGTAAAATAAAAGCTGTTTATCCTTTTGTATCGATACACCAGTCGACGATACGATAGCTGTATCAAACTAGGGGCGGTGGGGTAGCCTAGTGGTTAAAGTGTTGTCTCGTCACGCCGAAGACCCCCTGGGTTCGATTCCCCACATGGGCACAATGTGTGAAGCCCATTTCTGGTGTCCCCCGCCGTGATATTGCTGGAATATTGCTAAAAGCGGCGTAAAACTAAACTCGGTCAGTCAGTGTATCAAACTAAAATGTATCGTGATGTATCAGTGCATCGGTGAACTGTCTCAGTCCAAATATTTAAAAAGTCCAAAACTATGTAGTCAACACATGTGAGACTTGATTGTAATATATATAAGACGCTAACCTGTATTTTTAATCACTACTGTACATCCTTATTACTACCGCATTGTAAATTGACTTGTCAGCCCATTAATTATTGTATAAGACATTTATAACCTTCATTGGTAATCCCCGTTGGCCGTGTCTGCCATCATATCAACTGGTCAAGGAAGTGCTATTGTTTTTCTGTCTGTCCATTGATGAGTCGTAGCCTGTCAATTGTTGTCAAAAACTGTATATATACTTAGTATGCTCACATCTAGACAAGTGTAGGAGTACGAGTTCGGTATTTGACTGTCTGTTGGGACGACCACGAGCAGGATAATGCCGCTCGTTGGAAACGCCCTGGGGTTGAGCAGGTACTCCGCTCACCTCGCTCATGTCTTGTGTATTTGTTTGTCATGTACTAAAGACTCAACTATGCCTTCGTCTTCATCAACGCACACTTCATCATAATTATGAGCTAATTCCCCAGTCGACGCATATCCACGCGTTGACAGATAAATGAGTCAGTTATTCACAGACTTGTAATACAGCTGGATGAGAGCAATTAAAAATCAGAACAAAAGCCCACTGATCCTGTCATAATCCTGGTGCAAAAGATTTAAATATTAACGAGCCCCTACTTTTGAGCAATTTAGGAGAAAACGTCTAGAAGCCCAAGATCCCCTTAATTTTTTATCTTCTATGAATCATGGCACTCTTATTACACACAAGAATTGTGGTGAATGGAAGCCCAAGACCCTCACTATTCAGCTCACAAGTGAAGAAGTTTAACCCATGCAGCATTTAAACAGCACCATCCATGTAACTACCTAAGCTATTTTTTATATTAAATATTTAAACCATGATCTTCTTACGGGAGATGGGGTAGCTCATTGGTGAAACTGTTCACTTGCCATGGTTAAGATCCGAGTTTGATTCCCCAGGGTGCGATGTGTTAAGATAATTTTTGGTGAGCCGAGACAAGATATTTCTGGAATTTTGGTTAAAGTGTTGTAAAACTGCACTCTGTACATTAAGTCTCACAATTGTCTTTTATGCACATGGATGGAAGAAAATAAATTCAGAAAAGGTCGGTAATTGTCGTTCCAGTTTGACACAATTCCAAACTAGATTTTTTGTTGCTTTCAGATTTTCTTGGTATGGGAGGTCATGGGAACAGTAATCAGTATTCAGGGGGATTTGAGGCCTCGTGGCGATCACAGGCGCCACAAGCTGGAAACAAAAAAAAGGGAGATAACTTTCCTTGTCCACAGTGTGAGAAAGTTTTTCAAAGGAAATGGGGTCTGATCTATCATATGAAGGCCATCCACGACAATGTGACACTGTATTGTGTGTGCGGCAAGTCGTACAAGTACGAGACAACGCTACATCGTCATCAAAAGTTCTGTGGGATATACCTAGAATCAAGGAAGTGATGACCTTAATATGTTTTGTGACAATTCAGTTGATGGAATTTGGTTCAAAGAACAGGATTGATTTGACATGAATGTTGTATGTGTCGGAGTTGTAAGCTGTAAAAAATTATGCAGTGATTTTGCTTGTGACGTAAATTTATAATAATCAAATAAATAACGTGTATGAATATATTTGGTTGTTTTTCTGAGTTTAAGAGTAGTTATGCCAACGAAACATCTTCCATAATCGGACTCGTGAAGGTCCAGGTTAGAATTGATCTTCAGCAGCCCAACCGTCGTAAAACATAAACGTAATGTTTCCACCAGTGATGTTAGCTGCGTGAAGCCACTGCAAACCAAGAAACGGGATGCAACGGAGTAGTTTACTGTAGGAGGCCGTACGAGGCGATGACAGGTGACATACATTGTGACGTAATGTAAAATGGTTTGATTACGAGGGGGCACACTAGATTGGCGCAGTGACGGGATAACATCATTCAATTGTTACGTCATCAAAAAAACTATACCTTTATTGTCTGATAATGTATTTTTATTTTGATTGTTCTAACCGCTAGGCATCTTAGAATGTACTGTAAATGTCCTCTTAAGGTTTTCCAGTACTCCTATATTGAAAAAATAAAGAGTACGTACTCCTGAGGTTGAAACATTATCTGGAGCCCTGAACACGTCTTCATTACATACAATGATACATGTGTCATTAAACAAACAAAGACTCATCAATAGGTGCTGGTAAAATCTTCAGTGGCTACCTATTTTCTTTCCAAATCCAGTTGTTAAAACATATTTGAACGAGCTTGACTTCACTCCCTATTTCAATCTCTTGTTTGGATTTTGATGCTGTCCTATTCCCATAAGTATAGAGTATTTCTATGTGTATGTGGTACTTACATATACAGGATTTAAAATGTCGTATCTGTTAATATATTTGAACCATTTGTCCTTTAGGCAGAAACAAAGCTGAGTTCTTTGGGAGTCTTAATGGTCTTTGTAATACAATGGCATCTGTCTGACAGTGTATTTTTCAGAAACTGATACATCTTGAAATATTTGAGTCCTGTCATGATGCTGTTGAAATATTCAATTTGGATTGAGAGACATTCTCCATTGTGCTTTCTGTCAAGGTCAGCTGTGAAGCAGATGTGATATACCATCCAAAAAAGTAGGGGATATTGGATTTACAAGATTGATAAAATGCAAATGATGAAGCCAAGGAGGAAACAGATGATGAAGAGAAATTAAGGGAAAATGTGACAATTTATTCCATTCCTTTGGAAATGTTTCATCTGTATGGATATATATTACTTTTCTCATATGCATTGGCATTGGCTAGTGGTATGCTTGCAAAATGGAATATCCCCTACTTTTTTAATGGTATATATTTCATACACTGAATTCGGAAATAAAGCTCTTTTACATCATGAAATTAAAACAAGAACTTGACAGATCTCTGCAGTCTGGCTTTTTGTTACTTTCAGATTATGGCTATGGCTATGGACAGGAGAGACATTAACTCATTCAATGACAGACTATTCTGAAAGTGGCAGCTACAGGCGGCCATATTTTTCTCAAACCTCCAACAAAAGTGGAAATATGTTTAGTAAAAGTTATCCTTCAAACCAGCCTGCAGCCCCAAAACAAAGGGAAGTGTTTCCATGCCAACAGTGTGACAAGGTGTTTAACAGAAAGTGGGGGTTGATTTATCATGTCCAGGCTATCCATGAGAAAGTGACGTTTGTCTGTGAGTGTGGGAAGTCCTACAAGTACCAGAACGCTCTAGTTTACCATCAGAAGACTTGCGTCCTCCATGCATCTCAAGGCCAGTGACCAGGACTCGCACCACCAAGGTGTGATATCTGTTGGGTCGCTTCATGCAACTTAGAGTCAGTTTGCTGAAACTAGGAACATACGTCTTGATACTTTTCTTTCACCTGTTGTACAAATCTCATTGCTACAGCAAAGCTAGCCATTGTTGAGAATTTTCTGTTTTTCTCAAAATTTTCAGCAAATATTCAGAAATACTATTTCTTCCTTAATTCATAATGAAGGTATAATCTATGGAGAAGAGAAAAAATCACAAGGACTATATTTTCGGAGATAGAATGAGCCTTCAGTAACCCATGCTTGTCGTAAGAGGCAACTAACGGGATCAGGTGGTCAGGCTCGCTGGCTTGGTTGACACGTCATCAGTTCCCATTTGCGCAGATCGATGCTCATGCTGTTGATCACTGGATTGTCTGGTCCAGACTCGTTTGTTTACAGACCGCCACCATATACCTGGAATATTGCTGAGAGCGGTGTAAAACTAACTCACTCACTATACGGTGTAGTCATATCATTAGACATAACTGTTGCGATATATAAAACGAAAAAATGATAGATGAGTTTCAGAGTCGTGTGGCTGCATTTAATTGAAGAAGATTCCTATCATCATGCCAAATGTCACTACCTGAAGATCATAAAAAAGCCAAAAATGCAATCACTTTGCGTTTTCTTTCATGAACCTGTGAGATTCCTTAACTTGTGTTATCTCCCTTGTTGAAGTTGCTATCAAATGGGTAACAGTGTTTCCGTTATCTGATATAAACCAGACTTTGACTGGTACAAAGTTAGAATGTCCGATAATTTCAATGGCTGTCAGTCATCGTGTCCGGCAGATTCTAAAAACAATTTTCTTATTTCTACATTTCTGATTGGTTGTTAGGCCCAAGGTCTCGCGCACAATGAAAAGTGTGATCACTTGACCGGTAAAATTTACAAATGACCAGTATTTGAAATGCTAGCCGGTCACAGCGTCCAGCTGTAAAAAATGTCAGTGTAAACACTGGTTAACAACACGTGGAAAGTACCATATTGTCTTGGGTGAAGTGCACACTTCTCACAAAAACGGCTGTGTAAAGGATAGGGTGTATATACACCATACTGAGTTTGTGACAGAAGTTGATACAAAATTTTGGGCGATGGGATAGCCTAGTGGTTAAAGCGTTCGCCCGTCACGCCTTGAAGGCCGGGTTTGATTCCTCACATGGGTATAATGTGTGAAGCACATTTCTGGTGTCCCCACCGTGATATTGCTGGAATATATTGCTAAAAGCGGTGTAAAAATATACTCACTCACTGGTACAAGATTCATACCTACATACAAATTTGTGTTGTGTGAGGGGTGGTGTGATAGCCTAGTGGTAAAAGCATTCGCTCATCATGCTGAAAATGTTCGATTCCCCACAGTGTGTGGGGCCCCTTTCTGGTGTCCCCTGTGATACTGCTGGAATATTGCTAAAGGCAACAAATCGTTCTGTCCAGTAATTCAATTTAACCCACAATTTAAAAAGAAATACAATATTCTGTTGCAACTAGACAGTACTTTTCCTTCTTTCAGATGGAGGCCAGATTGCGATCCATGTAGGCCTGGGTGGCTGGGAAGGGCTAGGTTGGGATCACAGCCAGTCCCCTGGGAGCCATGATAGGGGTTTCCCCTCACCCTTGGGGACAAATAGGATGGCAAACATTTCTTGTCCCGAATGTGGGAAAATGTTTTCGTCACGAGGGTCACGATTTAACCATATGCAGGTTGTTCACAGGAAACAAACCTTCACTTGTGTTTGTAGTAAAGTTTACAAGTACAGGACAGGGTTACTGGCTCACCAGAAGTGTTGTGAAATGTTCCATTCAAATGTGTGAACGGGTATAATCTGATCAGAAGTTGCGTGAGACAAAGTTTTGTTCAGCAGTGCACAGAGGGTCGTAGTCACGTCTGGATCTCCTGGGTTCAAGTCCGAAATGTTCGTAGATGATGTTCCTTGGTCTGTCGGCACCAAGCTTTTCTTCAGTGATTTTTATCAAGACTGATTCAATTTTTCACCCATGTTGAGAAAAGAAAAATAATGACGTTTCAAAATGAAAGAAATTAGAAATTAGACCACGATACAGCCTATATGTAAAATCATACTGCCAGGGGCGTAGCTACCATTAAAAAAAAAAGCCCGGGCTTACACATGATTGTTGGCATAAAGGTTGGGTAAGCCCTCAATGCTATCTAAATATAAAGCTTTGCAACCTATCAGGCTTACACAAAAACATTGGCTTGCTACGTGCCTGACTGCATGGTACTATCATCCTCATAAGAACCTAGAATTTCATGCAGAAGTTGCATCAAAATTTGTTATGGTAATACATATATTATTGCATGTGTATGTATTGTGAGATACCTGGGGTTTCATAGCACCACCCCTTCTCACAATGACGTACCAATGCTATGAAACCCCAGGTTGCAGCATCAAAATGGAACAATATCCCAGAATATCTCAAATCTGCCTCCAGTCTCTCTTCTTTTAAATTTCAACTAAAGACCCAGTGTTTCTACACTGCCATAAAGTGTCATTTTATCTTTCTCAGAATCTTTATATATATATAAATATAAGGTATTTAGTCGACTACTAATTTTATGGTCAAACTGCTAATTTTGATCCTTGACACTACACTTTGGGGTTGGCATCTCTGATCTCCCCTGTTCAGTCTTCGGATTAGTGTGACACATCAGGTGACACTAATCCTATGGTGTTTGTTTTTGGTACTTTAACAAAATGAGCAAGGAATATATAATTCTTCATTCAGTGATCAGTTACAGAGATATTTATTGATCATCCAAAGTTATTTTGTGTCTTAAGACATTCATGAATTAGACAAGGGTCAGTTTTGTTGAGTAGTCAGGGCCTCCTTTCATAAAGCACTAAGGTGATCATACGTCACCATGGTAATCTTAGTGCAGTGCTAAAAAATGGGAGTTAAGGTTAACCTTAGTAAACGTTGCTTCGTGGAAGGAGCCCCCAGATCAGCGGCAAGACCTGTGATGTTTGTCACACATCAAGTTCTATTGTCATGTTTTGTTCAGTAATTCATCAAGGTTTGTAGCTGCTTCTGTGATAAGGTGTAGTGTTATTGTGGGTGCGTTAGCTTTAATTCAACCCCCGTCTATGGTCAACATTATGAGAACAGAATTACACTATTCTTTTGAAAGAATGAATGCTGTCTTCTTTGAGTGTCAATTTAGAAGTTAGGAAGTACAACTTGTTTTATTCTTGAAGTTTGTCATTGAAGAATACTATGTTATTGGAATTACTAATGATTAGGGGTGGGTATTGCAGAGAATTTTCATATTGCGATGCGAAAGCAAGTAATGCGATATGTATTGCAATATATTGCATGAAGTATTTTTAAACAAAAAACTACTTATAATCGAGTTAATTCTTGATTTATAGAGCAAAAACACAACAAAATCACTAGGCTTGATTAAGCTTTAATAACAACTTTTAATCATGATAAAATAAAAATATGAATAATATTTGGCACAAATGAAACAAGGACATATCCAAAGATTTCCAAGTGTTACGAAGTTTTCCGAATGCAAGTCAAAATACCGGTTTTCAATCAGCGTATCGCAATACGTATCATTTTCATGTCTGAACCAGTAAATACCGGTAAACCGGTTATATTGCGCAGCCCTACTAATGATACTACGTCTGTTGCCCTTACCACTCCCATTAGATAAGTAGGCAAAGCAGTCCCATTGTCATGTCATATTTTAAGAGTGGGTATTTTCTCTGAACAGTTTCTAAAATGTTGATGTATTGAAAAACTGATTACTCACTGTTTTGTGCAGAGTTACTTCCCTTAGGTTTGCAAGAATCCTGTGATCATTTGTTTGAATCCAAATTTGTTCTGATGGTTTTTTTATGTTAGCACCACACATACCCATTATTCTGTGTTTCACCGAAGCTGTTAAGCATCTGTGGGGTAGCCTGGTGGTTAAAGCATTCACTCGTCATGCCGAAGACCAAGGTTCGTTTCAACAGATGGGTAAAATGTGTGAAGCCGATTTCTGGTGTCCCCTGGCATGATATTGCTGGAATATTGCTAAATGCTAAAAACTTGACTTGCTCACTCACTGTAAGCACCTGAGACATGCATCGTTTCAAGCTGACTATCTAAAATACAAATTTTGAAGTGGCACTATACCAACTCCCTCATTTTCAGTCTTCACCGCAAGAAAGCACGCCTATCTGTTCATATGCCATGTTTTCTTGCAGCAGGAAGTTCTACAACAGTTATTGTTGTTAATATGTCATGATTGTCAATTCCGTTTTGAATAAATGTTTCAATAAATTCTAAGCATACATTTTATGTGATCATTTAAAAATAAATAAGGATCAGACGTCTCAAATAAACTAGCACAGCCTTTTTGTTACTTTCAGGTGCGAGTTGTTTGGGTGGAAACAATGCTGCCACTTCTGTAACTGTGCCTGATAGTAACTGGAAGACTCCTAAAACAGAATCCTTCACTCATATGCCTAGGGAAAACGTGCTCCAAATTCTGCCAGATGTTTCCGTGTTTTTTCTCAAATCGTAGCTCCTACCCTGACAAAAGTACCTTTCAGTGCCCCGAGTGCGAGAAGCAGTTCACAGCGTACAGCGCCCGGATGTACCACATCGAGTCTGTACACAGACACAAGACCTTTCCGTGCAAGTGTGGCAAGGTGTACAAATACCAACCAGGGCTGCTTAGACATAGTAAAGTCTGCCGTCTGCTTCTCCAAGCAAATGCACAGAAGTCGGACCAGTGATTGGTGGTTTGGGTCAGACCAGTGATTGGTGGTTTGGGCCAGACCAGTGTTAAACCAGTGGGGTGATTTTGCTGTTTGGGTCAGAACAATGATTGTTGAAATGGTTCGACAACTGAAAATATTAGGGGTTGCGGCAAGGTCAAGTTGATCTGAGTCAAATCTGTGAATGGTTTTAAAGTGGGACCAGTGACTGGTCTTCTTTTGGGGGATTTTAAAATACTGTCTATCAGTTCCAAAAGTATATCGGATACATTATAAGCAACTGCTGTGTCTTTTATGACAAATATTGGGTGAGTGACCAAAGCTGCCAGTGAATTCCTTCATATTTTATGCAAGATACTGTTTCAGTAATAATACGATGGTGGGAAAGCCATTGAGGATAATAGTGATGATTGTCTGCTGACCATAGACGACGGTCAAAGACCATGTTTAAACAAGATACCGATATTTTTTCACTAGTCCATGACTGAATATTGAACATATGGTTTTGGTCTGCTGATGGGAAAGACTCTTTGGCGAATCGTTAAGCTTCAGCATAATCTGCTTCGAACAATGATAAAAGTATTAATTTTGTGAAATTGAAACTGGTAAATAATTGAAGCGAAAACATGAAGGCAAAGTTTCTCACAGAACTGTATTAAAAGTTTAGCTGATCCGTCATTTTGATGATGGGAACACTTTTTTAACCCATATTCATATGTACATGCAATAGACGATATCATATTGAGTAAGCATAATGTGTATTGTGTTTGTTGGAAAGTTTATTGACTTGTACACTTTTGGAGTGGATTTTCATTGCCTTCACTGATCCTGCCAAGTCCATGTGGCACTGACGAAGTGTTGAAATGTAAGAACATATTGGTTTGAGGTTTGAGATTTCACTCACTCACTCACTCACTCACTTTCTCACTCACTCACACACACACACACACACACACACACACACACACACACACACACACACACACACACACACACACAAAAGGCAAAAGCCCTCTAAACCGGCATTCATTGGGACCGACAAAAAATGCCAGTATAGAGGGCGTGCGGGTTTAGATAACTTTTCCCTTTTCAATCTGAGAATGATCTTCCGTGTGCCGTAAACTACGACTGAACAACGTGCTGATAGTCATCATATTCATCAATAAAGATAACATCCGGTAAAGCACGGAAAAACAAGTTAATCCTTATCCATACGCCTTTTATCAGGCAACATCAGTGAGCTTAATGCCAATCAACAGGAAAGCCGAGATACCATATGCCGGTTTAGATGGCGTTAATTACTGTACAAACAGTCATTTGGGCAGTTTTTGTTGGCCGAAATACGGAATATACTGACGCCGGATTAGAGAGTGTGTAAATGATCATAGATTAACTAGCTTTTGCTGGGACCAAATTCTAGTGCCAATATTGAGAGCATGCCGGATTGGAGGACTGCCGGTTTAGAGGGCCTCCACTGTGTATTATAATGGGGCTGGCTAAAATGATCGATAATTGGAAGTATCATCGAGAAAATGTTAATGATTATCGATATGAAAAGCGAGTTATCGATAATATCATACATTAACTTTAGTGACGGAAACAAGTCTTAATTTTCTCACACAATATACAAATTTAGGACTTTATTCATGGTCTGTTTCTAAAATGTGTTACAATTTATATTGTAAGTTTTCGTACAACATACGATGTACTGCTTTCTTTGTAAATAAATTATTATCAGCACAGGCCCTGTTACATGATGTAATCATAGCACTTGTGATCATAAGTCTCAACATGGACTTGTCGTAGTGCTACATTTGTTTTATGGAACAGGCCTCTTCCGACGTTACAGGTTAAACATAACCAGTCGATTTGTGTATCTGAGTTGGTGATAGGGCTGCAACGATGTGGTTCGATTCATCAAAAATCAAATCTGACACCATAGTTTCAGTTTTCGTTAACCATTATCACTTTTTCGATTTGATATTTGAATACCTATTTAAATTATTTCCACACAGCCAGAACGTAATTTTGACTCCAACTCGAGCAGTTTCGAGCCCTGAAATAAGGCAAATGTGATTGGTTGTTGCTGGGTTAATTACCTAATGAGAATTGTTGTTAGTAGACAGCGCCAATTTGACGATGGATTTCTCGCTAAAAAAGCGGACTCTAAGAGTTAAATGAAATCTGATGTTTTTACTTGTATGAAGAATCAAATAAAAAATTATCAATCGAGGGTCCAGTATCGAAAATCGAATCAAATCGAGGTGTGGGTTAATCGTTGCAGCCCTAGTTGGTGATGCTTACTGACAAATACTGGTCAGGGTCAAACACTGAAATCGGCTACAGGATTGTTTTTTATTTTAACCTGATAGAGTTCTCCTTTTTGCATTAATGAGACGTCTTCATCGGACATCTTTTCATGCAGGTTATTCTTTGCTACACACATATGTTGCTATTTTGATTAACATTATTTTGTCTTTCATTTCCGTTTTATTACTCCTTTAGATGTCAGAATGAAGCGTTTTAGCTGCGTGGGTCAAGTCTGATGGAGAGCCGAAACTGTTTCAAACTTGACATTTTTGTTGCTTTCAGGTTGCGACTATGGGAGTTCTGTCAGATTTGACCCGTCAAGCATTGCTTTACACCAGGGGAATATGGTCACATTTGCTTATGGTCAGAATAGTGCGTTCGATACAGGTCAAAATAATCACCTTACAACTTATTCCAATTCGTCAGGTCCTCAGCGAGCATTTAAAGGGTTTCCTTGTTTAAAATGTGGAAGAAGTTTCGCCAGTGCTGGAGCAAGACACAATCACGTCCAGACTGTGCACGATAAGATCCAGTTTACGTGCGTGTGTGGGAAGAAGTATGCCTACCAGCAAGGGTTAATACACCACAGAAAGTCATGCACCATGTGTGTCAGTGCTTAGATTCATAGAGAACCAGGACCTGTTGGTATTGTGCCTGTAATTGTAGCACAACCTCGGGAGCTTGCAGTTGGTGAACCTACATTACATCGTGGATCCATTCCCATGTACCCTGTGATCGCAAATTACCTGCATTTCATTTTCATGAACATTTTGCAGACCATTTGAACATGTATGAGGGAAAGGTGACAGTAAGGGAGGTAACTCCAGTCCATCATTTGTCTGTCTCACAGTCCACATAGCTGTCAACCCTAAATGTGTCCAAGAAGTGAGATCTATTAAAAGTCGGCGTCCAGGGGCAGCAGGTACTGGTCTGGTCCAGGGCCCCAACCGAAAATGTGTTTTTTTATGGTATTTTTTTACTGTGTTTTGGAAGCTTCTGCTGGCAAGTTTATACATATTAATCAGAAACGGTCGTTATTCGAGGTGAAAACATCATAAAGCAATATTTAGGAAGCATTTTTACGAAAATATGTGAGATTTAGTATGCTGGCCGTGAGAACGTGACTTTCATTAAAACAACAATATATTCTGTTCTGCCTAGCTTTTTCTGCAGTGTTAAAGCCTTAAATGAAGTAAGTCTAGATTTCTGAATCTACCTCTCACTGGGACTCCTTTTCAATTTAACAGGAATTGTTTGTTTCTATCAAAATTATATGTATTCAGAGATTAAGTGTTTGTCGATTTTATCATCAGTTTTCATGAGTGAGTGAGTTTAGTTTTATGCGCTTTTAGCAATATTCCAACAACAGGGACACCAGAAATGGGCTTCACACATTGTACCCATGTGGGGAATCGACCACTTTCAGCGTGATGAGCGAATGTTTTTACCACTAGACTACCCCACCGCCGCCGCCATCAGTTTTAAGGGACATGGTCACAGGATGTGCATTATTAGTGATTATCGTAGAGTCTTTCTTGCGTCTGTGTGTGACTGTAATGATGGTAGTGTTGAAGTTTTGTGTTTGCGTTGAAGGTGCTACATAGTACATATCTGGACGTGTTCTCTGCTCAAGTTGTATTGGGCCATGAATTACAAATAATAGTGCTGTTTTAAGAGGCTGCTGTCCCAGACGGGCCCAGGAGTCTGGTAACAAGCTGTTACTGTATTGACATAAAATTTGATTGAATCAGTTGAAATATTGAAACAGACTTGAAAAAATATTCATTTTCTATCAGGTGATTGCCTTTGATCAATGACGACACCACAGTCTGTCGTCTGGAATTAATTTTCAACTTGGTCTTTTTGTTTGAAGTTATAATTGTTAAAAATACAGCTTGAGGCTGATGTCACATTGGATATATTTCTGTTAGGCGATCAACAGAAGTTACAGTTACATATTGTACCACAAGGAAGGTTTTCAGTGACATGTTCATAATGTTTGCCATCTGACAAATATAGACTGACGTTTATTTTACTGACACGTCAGTTTTAGATTTTTGTGATGATAATTACTTGAGTACAGCTGACCAACTATTGACTAGACAAATGTCATGCAAAAAATATCTCAGACTGAATGTGTTTCAGCAAATGTCCTGTTCACATTAACTATGATATAGTTCAGCGTCATTCAATAAACAACAGATTCTATTCCTAATAATTGAAATAGGTTTCAAACCACATGGTAAATTTCCTTTTGAAGAAATATTGAACATGGATCTGATGTAGTTTAGTTTGTAAACAAACCAATCGTTTACCATGGATTAATCATAGTGAAATATTTTTCAAACAAAGATTGTGATATTTGTCCATTGTATGCCTTATTTACCAGTCTGTTTCCACTGACACTTGGTGCATTGTAAATATCATGCAAATTGTGATGATGTAAAATTATTTGAAAAAAAATAAATGATTCCAAATGGACGAGTGTGTTTTTGTTATTTTCAGACACTTTTGACAAACACTGCTATGGCATAGGTCAAGGACACAGAAGAATGATTCACGGATCTCAGCTTGGATCCAGTAGACCTAGTTACCGAGACCCAGATCATTGTACCGCAGTACCGCCTCCGGGCAAGTACCCATGCCCACAGTGTGACAAGGTGTTCGCGAGTGTAGGTTCGAGGCGTAACCATATCAAATCCATCCACGACAGGGTGATATTTTCGTGTGTTTGTGGGAAGGTGTATGTCTATGAATCTGGACTGGCATACCACAAGAAATTTTGCTCACTTTGTGTTTCAACATCGTCGTGAGTGAGTGAGGTTTTACGCCGCTTTTAGCAATTTTCCAGCAATATCACGGCAGGCGACACCAGAAATGGTCTTCACGCACTGTGCCCATGTGGGGAATCGAACCCGGGTCTTTGGCGTGACGAGCGAACGCTTTATCCACTAGGCTACCCCACCAACTGAACATCGTAGGGGGAATTCAGGATTGAGTGTGACATCTGTTACCCGGAGGAGCTGCTTTTTGAAGATTTGGATTGGAAGCAGGACAGTTAATTCCTTTAGTGATTGTTAAAACCTAATTGGTGGGATGTGTCTTCAAGTTACTTGGTTGACCTTTGTCTTGTGTCAGTGAAATACTTGTCCCTAGATTGCAGCAAATAGTTTGATACTGTCTTATGTTATGGTTTTCGGGGGACACCCGGGACAGCCATCTTAAGTTGAAGTTTTACATGTGATGGTGCAAGACTCTATTAGTTCAATACTTATAGTCCACAACGTATTGGTTTATGCAAAACACCAAGGTTGTGTATGAAAACGTGATGGTGTTTAATACAGTGTTAAGTACTTTCTCACCAGACCTCACCAGACCTCACCACAATGTTATTCTCTATACTCTTCTGGTTGGATGTGTTTTACCATCACTGGCATGTCTTGGCCAGAAGCAGTTATTTACCCGTTGAACATTTAGACAAGAGCAGTAGTGTTGCTGTTTAATGTTACTCAATTATGATATCCAGGCCATCAGGCCTCAATAAGTTATTAGATGTCCGACCGCCTCCGTGGTGTAGTGGTTAGAGCATCCGCCCGGAGAGCGGAAGGTCACGGGTTCAATCCCCGACCGCGTCATACCAAAAGACGTTAAAATATGGTACTTGTTGGTCCCTGCCTGGCGCTCGGCATTAATGGGTACAACAAGGACTGGTCGGCTCGGAGTCAGTATAATGTGTCTGAGGAGGGTATTCATACTTCACTGCGGCATGGTATCTCAGTGGGCCCGCACTATAAAACCAGCTTAAGTCTGGGCTAGTACAAGCAGCCGCACATACACATACACACGCATGCACGTCGTCATATGAGCGAAATATTCTCAAGCACTA